AGAGAGAGAATTAATTTTGTCCATGGAATTGGAAATTTGGAAGCATTGGGTGATCCAGTTTTGATGCTCGACTGAATGTTAAAATAAAGTACCAGCAAGTTTCTTCATTTTTTAAAAATTCACTGTAGATTCCAGAGTATCAACCCAGCATGACACTCAATCTACAGGCGGTGCAGAAGGGACAAGAGGGACAAGATTCAGACAGAGACTGTACCAGTCACAAAAGCTTTGGTGGAAACAAGCCCCAGTGATCAATTCTGGCATTTCTTCAGTCAAAACTAGGATTCTTGGCCACCTTTGATTGCAAGAGAAGAAAGAGAGGAATTAGAGATTTGGGGGTGCACCTATTGCCACCTCTAGCGTTCCTTAGTCAGGAAGAAGGGGAGAATACAAATTAAGTGGACAAATAGCTGAGCTGGCCACAGATGTTCATCCCTGCCCTTTTCCTAGCATTCATCTCATCTATCTGTGTCCTTTCAGCATTTGTAATTGTTACTTTACACTTTTATTTAACCATTAAAAATATAACATTTTCCCTTTGCTTTAAATGAGAGGAAAAGGCAGCATCTCTTAATTTTTCTAGCAGTTTGTGGATTGAAGCTTCATCCCACAAGGCACAAAATAAATTTGATTTTAACCAATCCACTAATCTCTTTAAGGAGAATGTGTATGCTGCTTTGGGAATGGGTTCAGGATGAAAAATGGTTAAAAGGAAAAAATGTAATTTTATTTTCATCAACCAGAGGAAGAGAGCAAGTGTTATGATAATACCTTTGAAGACCGACACCACTAATGAATCCTGGTGCTACCAGTGAAGCTGAATGCTTATAGAATTGAAAAGCATAGATGTACTTTAGATCTGAATACAAAGTCAAACTATGAGAAAGAGAGAAAGAAGAGTTTTTAAAAAGGAGAGGAGGGGGTAGAGATACAGAATAGATGACAGAGATGAAAAAAATCAATGGAGGTATCAAAATAGAAATAAAAAAGATTGAGAGTGACTTCAATGGTGATTTAAAGAATGCCTAATTATACAACTAAAGTTCGAAAGAAGATATAAAAATTTACTTTTTTATAACAATAAGGTAGGAGCCAATAATAAAATGAATTAGGAAGACTAAGTAGTACAATTTAAATGAGGAATGAAGAGAAAAGTGTTCATTATTTTCGGAAAAATAGGCAAAGTAGTCTTTTCATATTATCTGAACCATTATGAGTTTTATAAAATCATGGATGATTTGAAAATTTTTTCCTAATAAGAACTAAATGTTTTATTTTTCTATTGCAAAAAAATGAAATAGTCTCTTTGATATCAAATGCATTTATTTCCAATTTCTTGATATAACCTAAAGGTAGATTTAAATTGGAAAAGAAACCAAAGCAACGGAAGTGAATTACTGGCAGTGATTATTGTCAATATACAAATCAGACAAAGGCATATTTATCCTTAGAACACATATCCAGTCTTCAAAGCAAATAAAATTCCAAGAGGCTCTGGTAACAATTGGTTCCTTCCAGACACGCTGTCACTCCATTCAGCTAAGATGGTAATTATTTACAATCACTGAAGTGTGTAGACTTCTAATGCAGAACTCACTGCGATGTAAATTAGAGTGACAATTATAAACATAGAACTTGAAGATCCAAGAGATTCAGAAGAAGCCCTAAGCCCAATTGCAGGGTAACAGGGTATTACTATAGGCTTCTTGTTCCTCTTGATGTGATAAATTTATTACTAAAAAGTGCTTCACGTTAATTCCCATATACTAATATCACTGATTTCACTTAAAATACAGTTACAGTTTGAGTATGTTTCCCTCTATCAATATATACTTTCAACTCTCTTTTACACACACACACACACACACACACATACACACAGAGAAAGGCTAGAATTCATAAAAAAAGAAAAGAAGAAGAAAGCTTTATGCAATAATTCATTCAGAACTCAAAAAAAAAAACTGTGTTAATCCAGAAATGGCATATAGTTTTCTTCTTCTTCCTCCTCCTCCTCCTCCTCTTCCTCCTCTTCCTCCTCCTCCTCTTCCTCCTCTTCCTCCTCCTCCTCTTCCTCCTCTTTCTCCTCTTCCTACTCCTCCTCCTCTTCCTCCTCTTCCTCCTCTTCCTCCTCCTCCTCCTCTTCTTCTTCCTCTTCTTCTT